CTTCAACACGGCCATAATCGTATGACTTGTGACGCTTAAATATATGTTTGTAAAACTATGTGTATCTTTTGCATATGATATGGTTCTTTTGTTTAAAAACTAAACAGTAGTAAACCATCGATCATGTTTAGTTTACAAATAGTTTGTCAAACCATTACATTACAAAAAGAATCATATAAGTCTACCATACTTTTGAAGGACCACCAAGTTTAGCATGGTGATACATACAAACATGGTCCTTTGAAAGTATAGACCTAGTTAGATCTAATGGTCGGCACTTAGTCAATATCTCTGTGACAACAAAATATACAAGTCTACCGTAATTATTTAAATGTGTATGATAACGAAATAATTAAATCTACGGCACAAAAGGACTTGTCAAAATAAGTCTACCATCACCTCGCAATTCACTTTACAGAATTCGTCTGCAAAGGAACCTTATCATCTGATGGACCACGAGGGTTTGGATCGGATAACTGAACAATCTCATCTTCTGGTAACTCGTCCATCATCTCAGCTGTAAGTTTGAGACGAATAGCAGGCATGTTGGAATCACACAAGCCATCGTAGCTATGGCCTAGTGCTAAACACTCGATATACTTCAGCGTATACACACCACAATCACCCGTTTGGTAGTTCTGTGGTATAGTTTTGATCATGTATACATTCCAAGCCTGCTCACTCATTTTTTCCTTTGATGAAGGGGTGCAGCCTGCTTGATCAACATCAGAATCATCTTTGCGTAAGCCCTGCATGTTTCTTTGATGTAGTCGTCGGTGTACGCAGTGTAGATGCTATCGTAGTTTTTTACCTTCTTTTTAACCAAGTCTATCACAACAGCGACCCAATGATCATTTTTGATATTATGAGGAATGTACAAAGTATCCACATCCTCAACCCATTTTTTGTTCGTGGCAGCGAAATGTGGAATTGTACCATTTGTAGAGACTAAAATATCCTGACAGAAACACCCAGCTCTTCTCTCTCCCGAGGAAGTCCCTAGCGTATTCTAGAGACCAAAGAACCATAAACAAAGGATCGATAAAAGCAATCCTTTCACTTTTAAAAGAACTTGACTTTTGCAAAGACCTTTGTCGGAGCATATTCATGCCAGCAACCATATGCTGTAAATTAAGAAATAAAAAGTTTTTCGAGTTCTCAAAGAATAAATAAGTCTACCACCACATATAAATAAGTCTACCATAATCTATCACAACAAATAAATAAGTCTAGTCTACCACCACATACACATATAAGTCTACCATAAAATACCNACAAAAATCAACCAGCATTAAGTGTACTGTAATTTTGCCGGCGTATTCAACCACCCGTACTTGGAATTGTCTTTTGGCCACATATGTTTAGGTGTCATCATGTCCAAGTAGAATTCTGCTCCTGCGAGGCTACTGTCGAATGGATTTTCCCTAAATAATGGAAATGGTGCAATGCTGAGAAAGATGAAAAGAGGTTGTACATTGTATAAGATAGCTTTAACAATAACAAGGAGAAATAACTTACAAATCAGTCTTCACGTACTCAAGCAACCGATCCAGTTTACACTTTTCCACCGTTGCAAAAAGATCGTAGATAGCAGGAGAAGAAGTTTCACCATACATGATCCGTATAGTTCCAGAGNTTCCTATGAATGGGTCCACTTGGGTTTTTGCAAGAGTTAGTTTGCGACGTTTGAAGACACCAAAATCATTATTCTTTGTCAAGTGAAGAAGCTTATCTATTGCACCTCCCAATGCTTTGTTCACCTTCTCTTCCTGTAGGTCAGAATAAGATGGCACCGAAGAAGGATGGTTACCTTTTCGAGTAGGTTTCACATCTTTAGTCATATCGACAAACTCAACAGTAGCCTTCTTCTTCTTTTCAACATCAGGTTTTCAAGACTTTTTGGCTTCATTGTTCTCTTTAGTCATATCGATAAACTCAACAATAGCTTTCTTCTTCTCAACAGCAGTTTCCACATTTCGCAGGACCTTTGTCCCAACTTTCATGTTTCTAACAACACAGTTAATTGGAAAATCGGCCTGAGATGTTGCCTGCTGCTCTACCATCCATGACATCTGTCATGATAACATAATTAAATACAATTCAATACGGAAAACAATGTAAAGTTTGAGTGAAGTGGCTGTAATAAATAAACTGAAATTTAAGAATTAGGTCTACCATAACACAAATTAAATGTACAATAACGTTGAAATATAAGTCTATAATAACGTATCATATAAGTATACCATAACTGACAACAAATACCAGAAATTGAAACAATTCCTAACATCAAGGTTAAGTAAGTCTCCAGTAACTTCCACAAGTTACTTGCACTAAAAGAGAGACCTACGTACCAGATCTTCGTTCTTAGACCCATCTCCTTCATCGCCCACCTTCGAATGTGCATCTAGCTCAGTCGCCTTGCCTTTCTTGTTCTCTAGTGATTCCATCCTACTATCGATGCCTTCGTACTTCTTGCCCAACTCATCCACTTTACTAAGCAATGAATTAAGGAGCGAAATCACTTCACCACTCTCTTCCACTTTCTTCTTTTCAACCCTTTCTTCACCTCTACGACTCTCTTTATGCTCTCTTCTCTTTTTCTTTACAATCTCTGTTAACGGGATACTCATGTCAACATCCTCGCTTTCCTTATCACTTTTTTCCTCGCTTAACGGCTCACTATTGTTTCTCCTCTTCTTTTCCTTCTTTTCCCTTTTTCCATCCGTCTTCGTTTCCTTCTTTTTGTTCTTTTCTTTCTCTTCTTTCTCTTCAAGCTCAGATATTTTCTGGATTTTCTTGTCCTTCTTCTTGGAAGTCCTTTCCACAGCTTTTTCAACAAAATCTCACTCTCCTCAACAAA